CTTTACCAGGAGGGTCACCAAGGCATAGATCAATCACCCATAGACAAGGTGGCTATCCAGCTGCCACGTTATCAAGCCTCTTGGAAAGACAGGCAACAGGCCTCTGCCATAGTCCCAGACTCTGGGTCAGTACTCCTTTTGCTATCCCTCGCCTCTCATCCACGTAGAGAGAAAAAGGTGCTTGTAGGTCTGGCAGCGCCAAGGCAGAAGCTTCACTTAGGGCCAGTTTCAGCTGTTTAAAAGCCTGGTCTTGAGAGTCTGTCCACTCTAGAGGGTCCTGAGTGGCTCCCCTTAATGAGTCATGAAGAGGCTGAGCTATCTCAGCAAAATTATTAATCTAAAGCCTACGATATTCCATGGCTCCCACAAATTTTCGCACCTGCTTTTTAGTCACAGGGACTGGAATCTGTTGATTGGCTTGCACCTGCTGGGAGGAAAGAGTCAGCTTTCCTTTATGGACTTGGTAACCTAAGTAGGTCACATGTTTTTGGCATAGTTGGGCCTTTTTAGAAGAGACCTTATAGCCCAGCTCATCTAAGCCCCACAGAAGAGCTTGGGACAGTTCTTTTGCCAGTGCCCCTTCTCTTTGCAATAAGCACATTGATTTTTATCTAGGGGCCAGGGAGACTTTGTATCTGGCTTGGTAACTTTCTTCATCAGAACCTGTAATACTTTTGTCAACATCTGATCTTTCAAATCTTCCCGATTGTGGAATACCTTCTGAGCACTGTCCAATAACTGGGAAAGGGGCATTCCCTCAAATCCCTCAAGCTTGTGCAATTTTCGCTTAATATCAGGGGCGGACTGGGTTACAAAGGCAATATTAATGGCCCTTGCATGTTTAGGTGCTACCAGATCTATGGGTGTATTAATGTGATAGGCCTCTTGCAGTCTTTCCAGAAACTTCAAGGGAGGCTCATTAGCCAATTGTCTTACCTCTGAAACAAATTGGTGGGCTTTCTGGTGGTACCCTTAAGGGCTTCTGAAAACAACTGGCAGTACTGATGGAGAGCCTTTTCACCCCCAGTCCTGTTAGGATTCCAATCAGCGTGGGATAAAGAGAAAACATGGTTCAGGCATTCAGGATCGGAGGACAGATTTCTATCTGGATCGCAGGTTTTTGTCCCAAGGTGCAAATGTGCTCCCTCTCCTCCATGGTAAACAGTACCTGTAACAGCTACTGACAGTCATCCCAAGTAGGGCGATGAGTGAAAAAGATAGATGACAGGAGAGAAATGAGGCCTTGGGGAGCCTTAGAAAAATGTGGGTTAGGGACATAAGTCCATGACTCTACTCCTGAGACAGGTGTCATATATACAGATACTGCCAGCACGACCATTAAGGCAACCAAAAGATTTTCAAAGTTTGGTGGAATTCCCCTTTTTGTGACTATATCTTTAGCCTATGGATCAATGCTTAAATATCATTTTATTGGATCATTTGTCTTTTCTGCTTGTCTTTTGGGGGAGCTGGAAACCGATTTTCTGGCTGATTGGCAGGTCTCCCTGGGCCCACGTTGGTAGAGCCTATCACCTAAGGCTGTCGTCAGCATTGGTTGTGTCTCTCATCAATGCTTTTTATATCTTGTGGATCTTGTGCCTGTTAAGACAAGCATAACCTCGCTTCTATGTTACTAGCTGTGTTGATCTTTTAAAGTGTAAATTAAGCCTGGAAAAGATAAAACTTGGTCTATCTGTAAAAGTAAGAATGTTAAAGAAACAGTCTTTTCAATCAATTATGATGAGAGGTCATTCTCTAAGAACTGCAGTTGAATCTAGCAGTCTAGCAAGTAAGCAGGCATTTACAGCTCTTAGATACTATAACAACCTCTATTTGCCTGACTTCTTTGGAATAACAAAGACAGGAGTATTCCAAGGGAACTTTCTAAATAGCCTTGTTGTAATTTTTCTTTAACTAATTTGTGTAATTGAGTTAGCTTCTCTTACACAAACAGGCTCCTTAGTTTTGCATTATAAAGGCAGAGCTATTTTGAGGGGAGAAGCATCAATGGCCCTTGTCAAAAACTTGCTGATATCAAATACCTTGCTTGTCATTTTTAGGCTTAATAGGCTCTTTAATTCCCTGTAAGTTTTTGGGTTTTTTAAGTCCTTTGTCTTTTTGATATCCCATTTTAATCATCATTTTCTTAATTTTAGGATTTGAGTCAATTGATTCAATTTCCAAATTGAAATTTGTCTGTTCAGCGTTTAAATCAGAATCGCTAGTCAGCACTAATTTCCACTTTTGTAATAAATCTCTTCCCCACAAGTTAAATGGAATAGGTGCCACATAAGGTAAAAAGAAACCCTTTTGTTGATGTGGTCCCTCATAAGGCAAAGGTGAGGCACTCTGTAAAACATAAGGGATGTGGGGCCCCTTTGTGTTAGCCACTTGGCGGGCCATTGTTCTAATGCAATTACAGACACATCTGCCCCAGTGTCTGTCAGACTCTCAGGTGTTTCCCATTTATTTTTATAAAACACATAGGCCTGTTTTAGTCACTTCCTGTGTAAAACAAATTTCTCTTTTTGTAGTTTGGTTCTGAGGGTCTTGCTTCCTCCTGAGCTGTCTATACATAACAAAAGAGGGCTTTTCTATAGGTAATAAAATCAACTGCACCACATAGTCTCCCTGTTCCAAAACCCAGATATCCGTAGCACATGCAAGTACATAGCACATGTATTTCATCTCTGTAATCACCATCAATCACACTAGACACAATAATTATTCCTTTTAAATTTAGATAGCCTTTCCCCGCACAAGACCAACTGTTCTTTCAGGTGGGGGGCCACCCCAAATTATGTGGGAATTGGGGTGGGCTTGTCACTTCCAATAAGAGTGACTCTACAAGCGGCAGAAAGGTCTAATCCTGCAGTTTGTTTAAGATTTTTAGCAGTTGTATTTTAAAAGGCTTATGAACAAAATACTCCTTATCTTAGCATCTGTTACAGTACCAACTGGAAGGCAAGCAAGGAGGGTATTATTTGCTGCCTTTTGTGGCTGCCTCTTCCCACACTACCTGTAATTGGGCTCCTACTGAGACAATCCCTCTAAGGCAGATGACTCAGCAGGGAGCTCTCTTCCTTCTACGTCCCAGTCATCTTTTTTAACAGACTTAAAACTAAGCTGACCAGATTCCAAGTTGAGAAGTCTCAGGAGAAATGATTTGTCCTGCTCTATGGCTCATTTTAATATTTTTTCCAACTTTTTTTCTAGATATTAATCTCTATAGTGCCTGTTTGAGGGAACCATGGGATATATTTGGTTACCTCTTTTAACATTGTTGTTAAGTCTTTTTTTGGCACATGAGCTCCTGAGTGTTTAAGCAGGCTTTGGAGCGGTTGTGAATACCTCTGCTCCTCTGCTGAAATCTTTTGCCCCATGTTTTACTCCCAGAAAAAATGGCTTTTCGGGTGGGAACACTTACACACACCCCCTTTATTTTTCTTGTCTCCAGTCTCTTGAGAGGCATCTTTTTCCCTCAGCAGACAGAAACTGGCCCATCACAGTTGAAAGACTTAAGAAATTTTTTAAGCAAGGAGGGGGGTCATGAATGAGATCAATCCAAACCTGAATGTACATGATTTGATCTGGATGGGTTGGGGGACTGAAAACATATTGTCAGATGGCTTGAGCTGTGGACAAATCAAAACTACCTGCCGGGGCCAATTAGGAACCCTGGTGGGCCATTCAAGTTCACAGAAGATACAGAGCCTCCCAGGATGTGCAGGTTCTCCAGATTCCCGGGGCAGGATCCTTAAAATCTCCAAAATGATTAAGGACCAGGGTTAAAGGAGATAAAGACACTGATGATGATACCTGGCCCATAGTTATTAATAACTGGTCATATACAAAAACACAAGACAAGGTGCCACCAAAGTTAAGATAAACACTGAACATGCACACGAAGGCTTTTCTGTCCACAGTCCAGTGACTTTAAAGGGTAACAATTTTCATTATAACTCTTGAGTCCAGTAAGCTACATGGAACCTGTAACAAGTTCAAATTGCAATGAGCCCCTAAGTTAATAACAAAGACAAATTCAAATGGGCAAAAAGCCCCCAGTTACAAACGGGCAAAAAGCCCCTAGAAGACGTCCCTTTCCAGTGCAGAAGAAGCACCTGGCTCGTCTGCTACAAATGTGTGCCCCAAATTAAATGGGGCTTACTTATATACAGTAAGATGATTGGTGAATAATTTGGGGAGGAGTCCTCAAGATATCCTGGGTGGGCCCCCAAATGTTGTATCCCAAAAACGAGCCCCCAAGATGTTCAAAAAATGGGGCAAGGTGTCTTTAAAAAGAAATGCTTTATTTTAGTTGGTACCCAGTGACACAGCATGCATTAGAATCTGCAGAGCTGTGTAACCAGGTTAGGTTACAGGAGTTTTTAAAAGGAAAAACTACAAGGAAGAGAAAAGGGGAATGAGCTTATACAAAAAGGGAGTTAATTGCTGCAAAACATTTTATAACCAGGGCTAGTTGGTCCCGAGACTGGGACTGAGTGTTTTGTAATTAGTGGTTAGCAAATATTTTACAACCTTAGGGTCAGCTGGTTTCAGGACCAAATTGCTTTTCTGGAAGGGAATAATTCACAAGAAACAAGAGTTGAAACACAGGTTAGGGTAGCGATGCTTACAGAACAGGATAGTGGCATCTTAACCAAGTTACAACATATATATACACTGTTTTAACAGTATATATGAACATACATAGTTAAGTCTCCCATAATTAACTTATATTCACCAGATAATGACTAAGAATCCAGTCATACCTCTAAGCTACTCTGTTGTTTGCGTTGCTTCTGGCAGAAGGAATATAGAGAACAAAATCAGTGTTTTGTGCAAATGTGTACCGATCTTTTTCAAATACTTGCGTGTTTTTGAAAGATAATTGCATTGATTTATTAAATTTTCTGTTTTTGGTCTTTTTAAACAAATACATTTCAGAAAGTAGTTTTTTCTAAAAGAAAGGAATTAATTTTTTCATTACTGTGTTACAGGGTTGGCTAGTGGATCTCATTAACAGATTTGGCATGTTAAATGGATTCCAGATTTTGCTTGATCGTTTTATTAATGGATCAGGATTAAATGTTCAAATAATTGCTGCTCTTATTAAGTAAGTTGTATTTTAAAACATTTTTAGTGCACTGTACAAATTGCTTTCCTGTTTCTTTGAAATTGAGTTTTCAGTATTCTCAAGAATTTTGATTTTACAATAACTTGCATTTGTTTTAAATGTTGAAGCTAGTTTGTGAATTTAGGTATGTTGAAAAAACTATTCCAGAAATTTTGTCTTTTTTTCAGACCATTTGGCCAATGCTATACGTTTCTCAGTCAACATACACTGAAAAAATATTTCATTCCAGTTATCAAAATAGTTCCTCAGTTTTTAGAAAAGTTGACTGATGAAGAATTAAAAGAAGAAGCAAAGAATGAAGACAAAAGTGATGCACTTTCAATGATTATTAAATCTCTGAAGAAGTTAGCTACAAGAATTTCGGGACAAGAAGAAACTATTAAAACTTTAGAAATTTCAAGGTTAAAAATGATACTCAGGTAAGATTTTTCCTACTTTAAATTATTCATGTGAATTTTTTTCCTCATATGAATTCTTAAAATGATACTTAATCCAGATTTTTCTTACAGATTATTACAGATTTCTTTTAGTGGGAAGATGAATGCATTAAATGAAATTAATAAGATAATATTCGGTGTATCATATTACACTCATCAGTGTGGTAATTGTGACGAGGAAGAGTGGCTGACAGCTGAGCGAATGGCAGTAAGATATTTTTGTGAATAAGATTCTTTCAGGAAACCCAAATAAAGGAACAAGACAGAAGGGAGATAGGAAATAGAAAGTCAAATACTTTCCCAAACTATACATTCTGTTGTTTTAAAAAACATTTTAGTACGTATGCTAAGTGATGTCATTTTTACTACCAGTTTATTTTAGTTCCTTAAAATGAAAAACTTGCTGTTGCTTGTTTCTTTTGTAAAAATCTTTTTGGTTTATGTCGTATAGTCTGAGTAACTGCTTCCAAGACAGTGATATGCAGTGCAGTAAGTACTGTTGTTCTCTGATGATGAAACTGTATTTTTTCATAAAATAAAGAAGACAAATAAAATAATTTATAGGAAAGTAGTTATCAGTTACTGTGAAAACCAGCAAAAACAAAAACAGTCTTTTAAAAAAATTTATATGACACTAAAACGTCTTCAAAATAGTGACAACAGATAATCATTTGGGACTGGTAAGGGTAATATTGTGTAATTGATAAGCTTAATTGCTGGGTAGATATCTTTGTAATCCACTTATAATTTGGTGGGTTGTTTAAACTGAAATAGAGGTAATATTTTAAAAAGGCTTAGCTAAATCTGCAATCTTTGAATTATCTAGTAGTAACTCCTCACTTCAGTTTAAAGTTCTTAAGTTGAGATTAGCTATAGCTGCTTGATAAATGCAGGGTCATGAGTTTTATCCCCCGCACCAAAAAAAAAAAAAAAAAAAAGTTGAGATTATAAAAAATATTAACAATCTCCATGGATTCCTGTATTGGGGATTGAACCTGGGAGTATTCTAACAAGAACCGTATCTCTACCTTTTTCAGTTTTTGAGTTTCTAAATTGGCCAAAATGTCCTTGAATATGTCATCTCTGGCTTCAGCCTTAGTAATAAGTAACTTACTAGAGGCATATGCCATAATATTCAGTTGAATAGTCTATTTTTAAGTCGGTCATATTAGCATTATATTGATATGGAAAGTATCGTATTTTTATTATCTTACTTCTACAAGTTGTTTTGAAGTTAATAACAAATATGCCCTCTAAGTAACACAAAATATAACAAATATGTTATAGTGTAAGGTGAGAACGATTAGATCACAGCAAAAATACCTCAATGGGAGGTACTATAAGTTTTGGCTCAATTTTTAGGGTTCTGATTTGATGGGTGAATTCAATTTGTCTTCTTTGTCTCAACAAATGCATAAATGAAAGTATGTAGCAATTTTAAAGCAGTTTGTGACATTTTTAAATTGCATTTTACAGAAGAATCTAACAGATTGAGAATTATAAAGCTAGTTATAGTTCTATAGTTTGAAAGTATATTGAAATAGCACATATAGTAACATTTCTGTGTATGGAAAATGTAATTCTATAACATTATGAATTGCAGTTTTGCAGTTTGTGAATTTATAAGAGACTTTTTTTTTTTGTCTTTTTCCTTTTTATCGGTACCGGGGATCAAACTCACGACTGCCTGCTTGCAAGGCAGGAGCTTATGCCGCTGAGCTAAATCCCCAGCCCCCACGAGACCATTTTATATGGAAACTGAATTTCAAAAAATTATGGTTGTATATTTAAGTTGCATTAAAACTCTTAAACGTACAGTATTTGTGTGTCACAATTGTGACCATGTGCCTATTTGGGGCTTCCATTTATTTTTAATTAGAAGTTTGAACTGTGAATTTATTTTGCCTTTTTTTTTATACTTAGGAATGGATACAACAAAATGATATCTTATCCATAGTTTTGAAAGATAGTCTTCATCAACCACAGTATGTAGAAAAGCTAGAGAAGATTCTTCGTTTTGTGATTAAAGAAAAAGCTCTCACATTAAAGGATCTTGATAATATCTGGACAGCACAAGTAAAGAATTTTCTTTCTTCCTTTTTTTTTTTTTTTGTGAGACGGGGTCTTGCCATACAATTCAGACTGCCCTTAAGTATATTTTGTAACTCTAACTGGTCTAGAATTTGCAAAGATTTCCTTGCTTCAGCCTCTCAGTGCTGAGATTATAGAAGTGTGCTGCCACACCCAGTCAAGAATTTTCTTTTAACAAGAAATACTCTAAAAATTAAAGGGTTAGAGTAGTCTTACTGCAATGAGATAAATTTATATTGTTTAATATTTAATAATTAATTTATTATCTATATATTAAATTCTGCCAAGAATTTTATAAAATAAAAATCTGTTGGGCAGGCACTTAGTTCAGCAGCGTAAGCACTTGCCTGGCAAACATGAGGTTGTGAGTTCGATTCCTGGTACCAGAAAAAAAAAATTCCCTCTAGTTACAGATGCTAAAATTGGTAGGTGATTGTTTTTTATAAGAGCCTATCGGAAAGTAGTTATTTAAAGAGCCTGTTGAAAAATACAAAGAATCTATAATTGCTGGGGTTTTCTTTTCTTTTTTTAATTTAAAAAAAAAAACAGAAAAAGGGTAGAAGTAATACGTAACTTAAAAAAAAAACAGTAAGACATCACTAGTTGAAAATTACATATTGTCCTCTGAGAAATAGTTATTCAAGTTACAAAAGTAAAGCGTACAAAGTGGACATTCAAACAGCGAGACTGCAAACAGTACTGTTCAACTATCCAACAAAATCTTAGTAATATGGTTATCAATCCTACGAACTTAAACATACATGCAGTAATATCCTATAGAGCAATTTCTTTTCTTCTCTTCTTTAAAATAGCAGTTACACATTTTGGGTTTTGTTACTCCTACATTTCTTAACGTTTACACTAGAGACACAAGACCTCTCCAAAAATGGGCATCTGAGATGAACATATCTGAGGATGAAGATATACAAATGGCAAATAAATACATGAAGAAATGTTCACCATCACTGGTCATTCGAGAATGGTATTTATAAATATGATCATTTCACTAATAAGATAGTCTCAAGTTGTCTCTGTTTACCTTCAGGCTCATCCTTTTTATAGTTGAGCAATATTCCATTGTATAAAAAATACCACATCTTTTTCATCCGCTTTATGGTTGATAGGCATCTTGATTGTTTCCAAGATTTAGCTATTACAAATTGTGCTGCTGTGAACGTGGGTGCACATTTATGACTGTGATATGAAGTTTTCAGTTTTTCTGGGAAAATAACGAGGAGGGGAATAGCTGGGTTGAATAAAACTTCCAATCCTAGACTTCTGAGAATTTTCCATAGTGATTGACCAGTCTACACTCCCACCAACAGTGGAGCAGTGTTCCTTTTTCCCCCGCTGCCTTGGCAACATTTGATATCAGTTGATTTCTTGATGGCAGCTATTCTTTCCAGAGTGAGATGAATTCTCAGTGCTGTTTTAATTTGCATTTCTCGAATGACCAGTGATGGTGAACATTTCTTCATGTATTTATTTGCCATTTGTATATCTTCATCCTCAGATATGTTCATCTCAGATGCCCATTTTTGGAGAGGTCTTTGAACTTGATGTTTTTAAAATCTTTACATGTTCTGAATATCAGTCCTTTGTCTGAGAGGTTGCTGGCTAAAATTCTTTCCCATTCTGTTTTCACTCTGTTGGTGATTTCTTTTGAAGTGCAGAAACTTTTCAATAATACGAGATCCCAATTGTTGATTTTTGAAGTGTTTCCCGTGCAGTTTGCATTTTGTTCATGAATTCTCTGCCTACCCCTATGTCTAACAAGACTTGCCACCTACTGTGTCTTCCAAGAGATTTAGTGTTTCTATTTTAACATTCAGGTCTTTGATCTATTTAGGCTTTAGTTTTGTGCCTGATGATAGGCATGGATCTAGTTTCAGTCTTCGGCATGTGGAGAGCCAGTTTTTCCAACACTATTAAAGAGGCTATCCTTCCAGTGAACATGTTTAGCCCCTTTGTCAAATATCAAGTGGCTGAGTGTCTTTGTAGTTGTGCTTGCATCTTCTAATCTGTTCCATTGATCCTCAGGTCTGTTTTCTTTGCCAGTATCATGCTGATTTTTATCACCATAGCTTTGTAGTATAGTTTCAAGTCAGGAATTGAGATGCTTTCTGCTTTGCCTTTGTTGCCCAGAATTGCCTTTGCTACTGTAGGTTTCTTCTGTTTCCAAATGAATTTTAGGAGTGTTTTCTCTAGATCTGTAAGGTGTGTTAATGGTATTTTAATTGGGTTTGCAATGAATCTGTATAACAGTTTTGGGGGGTGACCATTTTCACAATGTTGGCTTTTCCTAGCCAAGAGCGAGGAATATCTTTCCATTTTCTAATACCCTCTTCAGTCTTTTTGAGGGTAGCATAATTTTCAATTGTGAAATATATGAGGAAACAAATGTCAGGGAGTTATAGTACTATATTAACAAAACATGCTTATAGCATATTGTAACTTTCTAGGATATTTAATACCAGGAAAACTAAGAAATCATGTATTTTATTATCTGAATGACAGGTTTCTACTCACAGTTCACTTAGGAAATATTGACCACTAGATTGTGTGTGCATGCATGCATGTGCATGCATGTGTCTATACATACGTCCATGTGTGTTTTAGAAGAAACTGACCAAGGAGGGCTTTTACAGTGGGCTATATCCAGATTGCTTATTTATTTATTTTTAATCAGCAAGTCTACTTACCGGTAATTGTCCAGGTTGGACTTGAACACTCAGTTCTCTTGCTGTAACGTCCAGAATGCTAGGGATACTATTGTGTTCTATCATGACCAGCATCGAGATTTTTTTGGAAAGACTAATCAAACAAAATAGTCAGGCTTGCCTTTATTGAGCACTTAGGTTTTTAATTTCTGAAACACGTTTCAAAATTAAACAAAATAGTCTTGCCTTTATTGAGCAAAATAGTTAGTTTGCCCTAATTTAATTTTTGAAACAATCTGCTATACTAATTTTTCTACTAGATTATTGTAAATGTCCTATAAATTTTCACGTGAATTCATCAAACATCTTATGTCAAAAGTTTTATTGCTGAGTGTTAAATATCTTGTTAAATATTGAAAATTCTGTTGTAATTTCAGATGTGGATGTTCTATGGTAATTTCAGATGAAGATGATGGAAATATTTATTCATTTATTTATTTATTTTTGGGTACCAGTGATCTACCTCAAGACCTCACACTTGTCAGGCAGGCACTTATGTTACTAAGCTAAATACTCAGCTGGAAATGTTTATTAATAAAATGTTTTTTACTTGCTTTTTAAAAATTTTATTTCCTTCAACAGGCTGGGAAACATGAAGCCATTGTGAAAAATGTGCATGATTTACTAGCAAAGTTGACTTGGGATTTTTCTCCTGAGCAACTTGATCATCTTTTTGATTGCTTTAAGGTAACTGTTCAAATAATGAAGTACTAACATTTTACTGAAAATGGAATTGATTAAGTCTGTTGTGTTTTTAGCCAGTACACCAACCGATAATATACTAGATTGGATTTGGTATAAATAGTCTGTTGTTTTTTCAGATTAAATCTTAACAGTATATTATAATAAACTGACACAGTTGAAGACTTAATTTTGACAAGTTAATTTTTGAGATAGTTGCATATGACACTTTTTATTTTTATTTATTTTAAAATAAATAGAAATGCATACAAGAAGTAATAAAAGAAAGACCTTAAAAAGTACTGTAGTTCTCTGGATGAATATCAGAGTCAAAGTAAGTTAGCCTTTCTTTGTATACTACAATTGAATAATCCCACCTCTCTTCCTTTTCATTGTGTATGCCTAACCTGTAATGTTTTACAAATATTTGAGTTCCACATGAACCTGTATCTTTTATTTGTAATCTTTGCTTAACATTTATTTTTGCAGAAGCTTGGTTATTGGTAACTGTATGAATCTAAAATTCTCATTGTGTTATTATTGGTCATGTGTCTACTCGTTATTGACATTGAATGCTCTTTTTCATTATGGGATAGAGGTGCTGTTCTTATTTCCCTTTTGATACATGTCTGCTTGTTAATACACATACCTTTCACCGTGCCGTCATGGGGATTCAGTTTGGGGGCTTGCATATGCTAGACATTGTCACTTAATCCCTCTTTATTACGCTAATCATTTCTCAGCCTGTAAAATCAATAATCAGTTGTTATTAGGCCTTTATCTTTTTTGTAATAAAAAGGTTTTATATTTTGATAAAGTCCAATTTATTTTATTTTATTTTTTTCTTTTTTGTGATTGTGTGGTTTTGGTCTCTTGTCTAAGATATTTGTCTACTCTAGGCTTTCAAAGATTTTTTTCTTATACAGTATACTGGTCAAATTTGTTTTTATGTGTAAGTCTATTTGAGGTAATTGTTTTGATATGAAGGTAGGGTTCTAGATCATTGTTTCTCATGTGAATACTTGATCAAACATTTGTTGAAAAGGTTTTCTGTTTTTCTTCATGGAATTGTTCTGGCATCCTTGTCTAAAGTCAGTTAATCATCAAAGGGTTGATTTTTCTCTTCTGTAATCTGTGTCTGAAACTTTCCTTCAGTAATATGGATCTTGAAAGAGTATTCTCATATTAGAAAGTGTAGGCCTCATGCTTTTTCTTGGTAGATTGTTTTGGCATTTTCAGTTTATTGAACTTAAATATTTAATTACTAATTGTCAGTTTCTACGAAGTTAGCTATAATTTTGATAAGAGTTTCTAAGCAGTTGTAGACAAGTTTGCACTTCTTTTCCTTTTTCCTTTTTCTTTTTTTGGTGTCTCAAGGGTGAAAACAGGCTGTGTGTAAGCCAAGTGCATAACCACTAAGCTATATACCCTCATCCCTGTAACATAGCTTTTGAGAGTAAAGTGTTTATTTCATTTTTTAAATTTCATGTCTAAGGTGGGAGTGTATATCTTACATCTCAAAATATACTTAGAAATAATTAGTATTTGATATTGATACTGCATTCTGAATTCTTGTTAAATTTATTTCTTACAGTTTTTTTTTTTTAATGAATTCTTTAGATTTTTTTCCATTTGCAAGGTCCTGTGTTTTGTGGACAATAGTTTTATCCTCTTAATTGTCTTTACTGGAACCTTTAGTATAGTGGGAAACCAGGTTTCCTACACAGCTGCATGGAAGACTAAAATAGAAAGATCATAAATTTAAGTTGCATTGGCAACTTAGTAAAACCTTATCTTAAAAATAAGAAAAAGAAGGAATGGACTTGTGTCTCAGTGGTAGTATCTGCCTAGAATGTGTGGAGTCCTGAGTTTCATCCTACGTGTAAAAAGCAAACTAGTCAACAGAACTGATAATCTTTTTTCCTGAATTCAGCTTAAAAACTTCTAGTCTTTTACCATAAAATATATGCAAATGGGAGATTTTTATACTTGCCTTTTACTTATTTATTTATTTTAGTTTTTGGAGACAGGATCTTACCATGTAATGCAGGTTGGCCGTGTACTCACTGTACAGTGCAGGCATCTTTAATCACACAACAATCCTCCTTCCTTTTGGGAATGCTGAAAATAGTGGCACGTGCAATCATCACACCCAGAGTTTTGTTTTTTGAGGTAGCATCTTACTATGCAGTACAGGCTGATCTTAAGCTCATTATGTGTAGCCCAAGTCAGCCTTGACCCTCCTGTCAACCTCCTGATTGTTAAGATTATAGGCATGTATCTTCACACTGGCCCTTATTGAATTTAGGGGATTCTGTTTCTAATCTACTGAGTATTTTTATGTTTACTTTTGGTATCAGGGTTTGAACTCAGTACCCCTATGCTTGCCCAAGCAGGTGCTTGTGCCACTGAGCTAAATCCCCAACCTTCTACTGAATATTTTCATTATGAAAATTATAGTTATGTATTGACTTTAGATAATACTTTTTTAGGCCCTGTTATATTGATTTTATATATTTAGAGATTCTTACAGTTCTGGAGTACATCCTGTATGTCATAATGGGTAAGCTTTTCTCATATGTCTCTAGATTTGTCATATTTTATTAAGGACCTTTGTAGATTGGTAAGAAATTGCCAACCTTTTCCAAAATGGACTAGCATTTTATATTCTTGCTCATAGTGTTTGAATGATCCAGTTCTTGTGCCTTCTTAGAGATATCAGTCTTTAGAAATCTTGGTTTCAGTTTTTTTTTAATGAATGTATTTATTATTTGTACATGTTTTCAGTAAAAATAGTTACCTTCATTATGAAGTATTTGCTTTACATAACACATCTTAATTCTTTTTCATCCCCTTTCCATTTCCTCCCTCTAACCTTTCTTCCATTTGCTAAAGCTGTTACCATTTTTCCTTCAGGCTTCTAAATTCCTTTTTTCTCCCTTCCTCCCTCACTCCATTTTGTTCCTCCTTGTATTTGAAAAGGTTCTTACTTTCTACTTTCTGCTTTCTGATTTGCACTTTGTTTATGCTTAGATTTTTCACACAAGAGAAACAGTGATATTTAAACTTGTGTCTTATTTATTTCCTTTAAGATTATAGTTGATATTTTTTAACCTACAAATGCCTCAGATTTTAAAAATTGATGTGTATGCAAGAAAATGTCATAATTTTAATTTACATTATTCTATTATTTTAAAATATTGAGCGTCTTAAAAATATGAGGAACTATGAAAGACGCTCAATACATATTTAAATACATTAAATACATATTTAAATACATTTAAATATGTATTTAAATTACAATGTGACATCATTTAAATATCTTTTTAGGCCAGGTGTCATTTCTCAGTTTGAATGTTTTCTTATTGTTGGCTTTTTATGGTGCCAACTGGATGGTGTCCATTTGAGACACTGCATTTTCTTCTCACAAAACAGTGCTTATAAGCAAGGCTGTGTTGTCCCTGTGTGTATAGCAAGACATTATCTTGAAAAACAAGCATAAAAAAAATAAAGTTTCTGTTTTAATCTTAATCCAGCAAAATGCAGACAAAGGAAGGGAGGAATGCTATTGTTGTTTGGTTTGTTAAGATAAGGTTACACTGTCCCAGCATCTCAGTGTTCTAGGTTCTCAATGTTATTGTAAGGAATCATTTTCATTATTATTGCATTGGGAAAGAAATTTAGGTTTTGTTTGTGATTTTTGCTCTCTCCATGATGGAGTGACTATTTTACTTCTGTGTAATAATGAAAGTTGTTGGTACTTGGGATCAAGCTTATGACCTTGTGCTGCCATGGAGGTGCTTATGCCACTGAGCTAAATTTCGTGCCTAGCTATGGTTTTTGAGGCTTTTTTTTTTTTTTTTTTTTGCTTTATTGGTACATTTTAGGTACACTTACCACAGGTTTTAGTTTCTGTAGGACCTGCTTTCTTGCTACACTTTTCAAATTTTTACATTTGGTTTTTATGTAATATCCAGAAGTTTTAATTTTAGTTTTACTTTAGCAGGATAAACCATGAAAAATGCACCAATATGTTTGTTTTGTTTTGTTTACTTTCCAGTTTTTTTTTTACATTTCCATTATACTTAATCACATTTTCTATAGAGAATTTTTACCTGTGTATAATGTCTTGCTTTTTTCCATTTCCTTCCTCAGCCTTCATCTCTTTCTGAGGGCCATTTTAGATCTAAAATATAAACTCAGTAACTTCTGTTTGTTTTTGCTCTGAAAATGTTTTAATTCACAAAATTTTAAATTGGGTATTTCTTACTAGTTTTTAATTATATAATTTTTAAAATGAGGAGTGGGACAGACATCCTTTATGTAACAAATGTGTTCGTTTCCTGGGACTAAACAAGTGAATTGGTTGCTAAATGAGGAACTATGTGTACTATATACATTATGGTATTTAGAATAAAATGCTCAAATGAAATTCCACCTGGCTGACTCTGCTTTTGTTTGCATAACTCTTATATGTAGTTATAGAACTGTGCCATCTAATACAGTCAATAAAAATTACAGTATTGTGTATAAAAGATGTAATATACAAAAAGAGAGACACTAAGGTCCTATAAACAATACAGACAGAGGTGCACAAAACAGTAAAAACATTTGCTAAAGCTGTTACCATTTTTTCTTCAGTCTTCTAAATTCCTTTTTTCTCCCTTCCTTCCTTCACTCCACCTTGTTCCTCTTGTATTTGAAAAAGTTCTTACTTTCTACTTACAGTGGGTCGCAACAGTGGGTCACAAGTCTGAGAAGTCACTAAGTGGATCATTAAAGAAAGAATGTCTGTACAGTTTAAAATTGTTGATACACATTTCTTGGGAATTTGAGTTAGAGTATCTTTTGAGTACTATTTTCTCAAACTGAGCACTGACATTTAGGAAATATAAATTCATGTTTCTGGTTTGTGTGTATGTAAAAGATGCATTGGATGTGGTTTTCAGAAAGAGATGGTTAAAGCAGTAGTGATCTAATAGAAATATGTATTTAAATTACAATATGACATCATTTAAATATCTTTTTAGGCCAGTTGGACAAATGCAAGTAAAAAACAACGTGAAAACCTCCTTGAGCTCATATGTCGTCTGGCAGAAGATGATAAAGATGGTGTGTTGGCGCATAAAGTGTTGAACCTTCTATGGAATCTGGCCCATAATGATGACATGCCTGTAGATATCATGGATCTAGCTCTCAGTGCCCACATAAAAATACTAGATTATAGTTGTTCCCAGGTATGTGGTTGCTTCTTTGCTCAGTTATTTTCGGTGTCTTTCCTTTACCATAGCAGCTTAGTGCCAGAATATCTCGATCAGTTGAATCTGTCTTGTGGTTTTAAAAATAATCTTGAAGAATTCACTTGATTTTGTTTTAGAAGCCTGGCTTCTTTCCCTCTTGTGTTTTTTGACAAATTTTTATGTACTATGTACCAAGCATTTTGTCTACTTTTGATTTACACAGGCTGAACAATTTATTAAGGTGGCATCATAGTTAAGTATGTGACACTGAGATCATAAATAAAGCTGGTAGCGATTTTGGAAGTATAAGAATAAATTTTATTTATTCTTAAATTAAGTTCAAATAGTGGGTTTCCTAGGAAACTTTTTTTTAGCATTTTTAACTTTCATGTTTACACATTTTTCATATTTATTTTTATAGTGTTTTTACCTATAATCTTGGACTTATTTCTAGATTTTTGTCCTTAGTGCCATGCCAGTTTTAAAACTCAGTTCAAAAAATTTACAGTGGTGCCAGGGATTTAGCCAGAAGCATAAGTGCCTATCTAGCAAGCACAAGGTTGTGAGTTTGAACTCCGTTACCAAAAACTATTAACATTAGTATATTATCTTTTTTTCTTTTTGTTTACTGGTACTTCCTATTCATTTAATTCTCATTTTTTATAATTTTTGAGAAAAACTTTTACTAAGTCATGGCTGGAGTCTTAGATTCTCCTGCCTCAGCCTTCCAAAGTAGAGGTATATTCTTTAAAAATTAGAAAGGATTAGATATTTGTGTTTTCAATTTCTCCTTCTTCTTTTACTTGGATTGTGTTTAATCCAATAAAGCAAAGTCAGCTTACATTTTTGGGTTGTTAAAACCATAATTTTGAAGATTCAGAAGTGTTCAGGAAGCTGCTTGACTACCTTTTTAAGTTCATTAAGTATACACATATTTTTTTTTTTTTTTGTCTTTTTCATTTTTATTGGTACCAAGGCTCAAACTCACGACTGCCTGCTTGCAAGGCAGGCGCTTATGCCGCTGAGCTAAATCCCCAGCCCCTGTATACACATATAATTAATGATCGCTTATACACATAAGTAAATTCAGAGAAGTGCTTTTAATCTAGATTACTTAAGAAAGGAAGATTATATTCATAATCTGTGAGCTAATTTGTTCTAAATATCTATGTAAAACTGAATTTTTTCCTGGTCTGAAAAGCATAATTGAAAATCTATCATTCCTGCTGTCTGATATAAATCAAGATACGTAACTTTCTGCAGTTGTAGTGACCAGTAATACATTGGCTTTGCGGTAATGCATTTGCATCTTCAAATGTATCAGAAGAAAATAGCTTGAGTTATTTGATTAAATGACACTATTACAGTTCTTTCTCATTACTCATGAAGTTTTGTTCATCTTGACTAAGGTTGATATTGTATTAAGTGAAAACTACAGAGACAAAACAGTAGTACACTGGTTTTAAGTATAAGTGTGTACCAACTATTCATTCACATAAATGCTTTACATTTGTTGCTTTATAATTAGATACTAGCTTTTATTATGTTTAAATACTTGCTTTTTTTTTTTTTTTTGTACTAGGGATCAAACTCCTGACTGCCTGCTTGCAAGGCAGGTGCTTGTGCTGCTGAGCTAAATCCCCAGCCCAATACTTGCCTTTTTTAACTTCCACCTTTATTTGGGTCACATCCAAAAGTGCTTTTAAGTGTTATAGCAAAATCAGTTTTTGTTTTTTTTTGTTTTTTTGTCTTTTTCTTTTTTATCGGTACCGGGGATTGAACTCACGACTGCCTGCTTGCAAGGCATGCGCTTATGTCACTGAGCTAAACCTCCAGCCCCCAAAATCAGTATTTTTAACTATGTTAACTATTTTTTATATACATATACATACACATATACATGTTTTTCTTTCAGTTTATCACACTAATGAACCAACATAATGTTTACAAATGCACGTCTTACGTATTTCACTAATATCTTCTCAGGCTCATACATTTACCTATAAAAGTGTCTGATTTACAATTTTTATGGCTGAATAATATTCCATTGTATAGAAAATGCCACATCTGTTTCATTCATTCCTCAGCTGGTAGGCATTTAGGTAGCTTCCAAGATTGGACCATAATAAACTGTGCTGTTATAAGCATGGTTGCACATGTATTGATACGTATAATGTTTTTAATTCTTTTGGGAATATACTGGAATAGCTGTGTCAAATGGGACCTCCAATCCTATGTTTTGATAAATCTGCACACTGAAAATCAGTATTTTTGTATCATAAGTATTTTATGATGCTAAAATAATCCTTAAAAAATGTTTTCTTCCCATGTTTGGACTGTAATAAGTAATAATTTGCTAAATACCTAATTCAGACCTCTGATTTAGTCATTATAGTTTATAAGAGTAATCAATAAAATAATGGAAGAACATTTGAACTGGACTTTTCAGTATTCTGGTATTTTCCTTTAGGAGGAGAGTATTTGTGACTATTTTTACAACTTGCATTTATCTGTTTTTATCTTTTTTATTTGCACTATTTTACTATATTAATAGATCCTAGATTACTATTTCTTGACAAATCCTACATTTTCATGATTAAGATAATATTCTAACACTAACCCTTTACTGACAAATAATTGAAATTTTAGATTTCTGCTAAATATTTTAGATTGGTTTTGTGGATGTTTGTTATTGTTTTTAGACAGAATGTTATGTATTCAAGTTGACCTTAATCACTGTGTTGCCCTGCTAACCTGCAGTTATCTGCAATCCTACTGCCCCTGCCTATCTAATACATGATTACATGCCCATTCATTTTTACTGAGTTCATATATTACCATGTAGAATAAAAAAAAAATCAAGTGAAACTGAGTACTTGTATTCAAACAAGTATTTTGAAAACTATACTCTCCATGAATGTGTCTATACTTAGCAAATATTTGCATTATGGTGCATGTGTATCTGAAACCATGGAAAATATTGAGTGTATAGTTGTGCTTTGTGTAGAATGTTGAAGATAATTTCAAAATAAGAATGTACTGAAAGCACTGGGAAAAGAAGCATTTTGTTTGATTATTATGTTACAGTTTTGGCTACTCTGAGCTGAAATGCTTCTCTGTTTTATAATTTTCAAAAGAATGAAAAAGTCAAATTGTAATGTATTAATAACGATCCATTTAAAGCCTAAATGTTCCTGTGTGTTGTTTTAATGTGTGTGTGTAAGGATCGAGACATACAAAAAATCAGATGGATAGACTGCTTTATAAAAGAACTTCAGTCAAATGAGAACTGGGTAATTCCTGCAATGAAACAAATAAGAGAAATCTGTAGTTTGTTTCGTGAAGCACCTCAAAATTTGAGGTAAGACACAGATGATTTTATAATGTTGAAAATATCTGTATAAGCTAGTTTAATAAACGGAAAGCTAGCATTAAACACGAAACTTAGTGTTTGGAACAATAGAAGTACATTCAGTTCTTTTTATGATCCATATAACTTAGTTAAGTAGTATATATAAGATTTCAAGTATTACAAACCAATTAAGTACCAAAATCAAGATGATATTCTGCTGATTCTTAGTTCAGAATTATCTTGACTGCAGTAGTTACAGTCAAACAATAGAATACTTTATGCTTTTATGTCATATTTCATTTTGTTTTTCCATTTCTTTTTTTTTAATCTTTGGTCCAATGTTTGCTACAGTTCTATGTGGTAATTTTTGGTTTTTTTTTGGTACCAGGGATTGAACTAACGACCTTGGGCTAAACCTCCAGTCCCTTCCATTTTCATTTTGTAGTTGAATGCCGTAGTATTTATATACTTCCAATGCTGGTGTCTTCATCAATAAATTAATAAATTAGAGATATCATTAGTTTGATTGAAAATGATAAAATAATAAGGTGTCCTTTAATATCCACAGGAATATAGTTCTACACTCACCATTTTGTGATTTAACATCAGGGCCTACTTTTTTTCTTTGTGCTCGTAGTTCTGGGAATCAGAGTAGGCAAGCCTGATTAACATTTGATCAGGAATATTGATGAGTATTTTTTATGTAAAATAGGAACACTTGAGATATGCTTTTGAGGCTTCAGTTGTTATATGATTCATATTTTTAAAGAAAGATTCTTAACCACTTATTTTTAGAAATGTTATATTTTACATATTTAATAGTACGTAACATTTAGCCTCTGAACACTAAACAACATAAAGACATTCTCATTTGCCTTGTTATACTGTTCAATTTTTCTCATTTCAGTCATACTCAGCAAGGTCCCCACATATTTTATCGCCATGATTTAATCAACCAGCTTCAGCACAACCATGCCTTGATTACTTTGGTAGCTGAAAACCTTGCCACTTACATAAATAGCATGAGATTATATATTAAAGGTATGTATGATAAGCTAAAATAACTTTAAAATTCAAGATAGGCTTTCCTCCTGATTTTGTTGTCTGTTTTGCTTTGCTTTAATGTTATTTTTAAAGGAATGTTTTTAAATATTTCTTCTTAAAGAAAGAAAGCATGAAGTGAATTGGTTTTATAAATTATAAAATGTATTATCTTTTGGTATCTGATGGAGATTGGTTTCAGTACCTCTCGCAGATATCAAAATACTAAAACTCAAAAGTTCCCTCTAGGATGATATAATAATGTAATATAATTCCTATATATTTCGTCTTTTTTTTTTTTTTTTTTAGTACTGAGGATTGACCTCATGACCTTGCACTTGCCAGGCAGGTGCTTATGTCACTGAACTAAATCCCTTGCCCTACTTCGTCATTTTTAATTGACTTATAATACCCAATACAATGCAAATTCTATGTAAATATTACTATACTACATTGACTAGAGAAGAACAAGGGAAAAATATGTACATATTAGTAAAGAGTTTTTTACACTGTAATATTTTACGGTGTCAGTCAGACTTCAATAGAACTTTTTAAAAACAAAAAGGAAATTGGTTTGATGGCATATCCATGTAATTTTGGCATCAGAGCAGCTGAGATAGGAGATCACTAAGTTTAAGACCAGGCTGAGCTTTGCTTAATCACCTCAAGTTCAGCCTGAACCACATAGTGACACCCTGATGCATTGAAACAAATAGTGTCATGATTTAGTATTTTCCATTGTTAAAGAAATTTATTAAGTGATTTCACATGTTTCCAGAATATGATTTGAAGAGAGGGGCGAGTAGGCTTCAGAAAATGCTGAGCAGTTACTCTATAATGGGCTAAAACCTGTAGTTTAGAATATAAACTTTTTAAGCACTTCCGCTACCTGGTCTTTCAATAGTAACAGTATTTGTCAGGAGTTCTCCTAGCACTTCAAAGAAACTTATAGTGCTGTTAACCTCTGACCATTTTGTTAGAGTTTAAAATGTGGCACAAGCTAGGCTTTGTGTATATCACTGTGTTCTCTCAAATCAACCATCTACAGATACAATTTAACTCTAATGATTCTTCTGAGTTTCTTTACCTCTCAGATTGCATCCACTGTTTTTCCCTGTGTCACATTGTTTCTAGGCAGACTGATAAATCAGGCAAGGCAGTTGAGTCATGTAACCCTAATTTTATTTATACAAGTAACCAAAATATATGAGAGAAACAAAATTTGCATTTGTGTTCTTCAGTTCATGATTTCAGACCTTTGAAAGATAGGAGACCTGCAAAGTGCCAGGAAAAGCCTTTCCCAAAGTGATGCCAGTTCCATATTAATTTTCTTATCTTTTCCTTTTTTGTGTTTATTTTGGGTATTTTGAGACAGGTTCTTTCTATATAAGTTAGGATGGCCTCAAACTCGCAGCATTCTTCCTGGTTCAGCCTCCTTAGTGTTGAAATTATAGGCATGTTCCACATCTGGCTCCCAGCTTTTTGATTCATTATTCTTTGTTTTTTTTTTTTTTTGTTTTGTTTTGTTTTTGTTTTTTTTTTAGTTTCAATTGCACTGATTTCTGCTCTAATCTTTATAATTTCCTATCTTTTACGAGCTTTCAGTTTAACTTGCTCTTCTTTTTTAGAACCGTGAGATGAGGCATTAGGCTGTTAATTTGGGCTTGTTTTGTTTTCTTGATATGACAATTTATTGCTATATATTTGTCTCTTAAGACCACTTTCATTAAATGAAAGTTTTTCTGGGTACATCATTCTGGGTTGAAAGTTACTTTCTTTCAGGGCTTGAAATAGCTTACTCTAAGCTTGTTTTGATTTGTGAGTTTGTGCTGAAAAGTCTACTGTGATTCTAAATGGCTTTCCTTGATAGGTGAGTTGCGTCTTTTCTTTAACAGCTTTTAGTATTCTGTTTTTATGCTATATGTCTGAGATCTTAATTATTATATATCTTGGTGTAGATTGTGTTGGTTTTCTATATGCCTAATTTATGTGCATGTCAGATTTTTTCCTCATGTTGGGAAATTTTCTGCTATTTCTCTGTGAATATTTTAGTTGTGTCATTTGCATTGACTTCTGCCATCTTCACTGATGTCTATTAATCTTATATTGTTACTCTTGACATCATTTTGCACTTGCTGTATTGTCATTTCATGCTGCTTTGTTATTTTTAAAAGTTGTATCCTTTCATGATCACTAATTGTGTTCCTGTCCTCAAGGTCCGAAATCCTATCCTTAGCTTCATTTAAACAGTTTTGCCAGCTTTGAATAGAATATTTTGTTTCTTGGGTGTCCTTTTGAGTTTGTTTGCTATATAGTTCATTCAAGGTTTCAGTTTCCTATGCTCCTATACTTTTTTCTCTTGTTTCTTCTTTGGCTCCTTTACTAAACAAATCCTTTGCTTAGGTTGTTATTTCTGTCTTTACATGGGAGAGTACTCTCTATCTTTTCAGAGATTTTTGCTATGTTACTTTTCAGGTCCTCTATTTCAATGTCTTGTGTACCTCCTCCTGGTGAACTATATATTTGACACTGCATTTTGCTTTTTTGTTCTGCCATTTTCCCCTTTAGACATAATATTTCATCCTTTTATTCCACTAGTGTCAACTGTTGGTAGTGTGTATCTTGGGATCCTAATATAAGGCTGATGTTTGTCCAGTTGATGGGTCCCACAATGAATAGGTGGACCAGTCACCTGACTTCCCACTTCAGAGCCTATTGGGGGAGTCCTGTATTCTCCCTGGGCTGACAAGCATAGTAGTGCAGATGTAGGTAAACTTTTAGTTGCTGCTATTTCTTTATCTTCAGATTATCCCAGGTCACCAAATCTCCCTGTCTGTAGTGTTTGTATTGAGTAAGTCCCTCCTGCGTCCCTATTGTGTGCCTGTGTGTCTCATAAGCCCTTTTGATTTTCTCCAAAAAGTGGCACACTCCTCACCCTGCCTGATGTTCTCTGTATGCAGGAAGGAGTCACCCACAGTCTTGTCAGACTCACTAAGGTCTTACAATTAGTTGGAAGAAGCTTCATTACTGGCCTTATTTATCTACTGTAACCTTTATTTTAGGGACATACTCAGCACACTGACTGGAGCCTCTTCTGAGATCTCCTGTTTGGGTGAGGCAGTTACTGAATCTCCCTTCAGCTTAGCACAGTTGATTGGCTGTAGTCTAAGGTTCTGGGAGAAAGGGTGGGAGCTGAAGATCAACAGCAGTACTAGGTCCTGGAGGTAGGGAGTGTCACCAAGGGGCCAGCAGATGTGCTGGCCTCAGGGGTCTGCTGGGTGCGGGCCAAGGTCCCAAGGCAGCGTGATATTCCTCAGTGCCAGCTAGAATCTTGAATGAAGCACGTGGTTACATGTGCCAAGGTGTGAGGACAGCATGCCCAGGGCGTTGCCAGTCATGCAGTGCAACGGCGCGGCAGCAAGGGCCAAGTTTCTAAGGTGGCATGGTGTTCCTCAGTGCTGGCTGGAGTGAAGCAAGAGGCACGCAGTCACATGAGCCAAGGTTCAAGGGCAGCATGTGTTCCCCAGGGCCAGCACCAGTCACACAGGAAGGACGCGGTGGCATGGGCCAAGGTCCCAGGGTGTTGCGGCGTTTCTTAATACTGTCTGGAGTCAGTAATTCTGTATTTTAATGCTGAAACACCAAAATATATTGGAAAACAATCATAAGCTGTTCTTACAGATTGCTTCATGGAGGAAGAATAGAGGAGAAAGTTATACTGAAAGTTACTTTTGATAATATTTAGCAAATTGTATTTTTTTTCTGGACTGTAAAAAGGTAAATATTTTAATTTTTAGGGGAAGTTGAATAGATGAGGGGTCCCCTAAAATGTGTTGCCTTATGATAAGATTTTTATTGACTTTCCAGTTTCTTTTGGCTAAAGTTAGCAGTGATGTGGACAATCCTGTGTATAATTCATAATTTTTTAAAATTGCAGATCATAATGATTATGACCCTCAGACTGTGAGATTTGGAAGTAGATACAGTCATGTTCAAGAAGTCCAAGAACGGCTTAACTTCCTTAGGTTTGTTTAGTGCTATTTTTTCTAAGACACAGATAAAGAATGGTGTTCGCCAAGTGTTTGTTACATAGCTATGCTGATGTAGAATGTTTGCTAACATGAGAAGAATTGCCAGAAGTTTTATAGCATTACCCTATGGGGTCATTGTTAAATATTTTTAAATTATTGGTTAAAATTTAGCTTTCTTGTTTGAAATTTTGAAATAAACATGAGGTATGCAGATTGAACCCAGGGAAACTTTATAGCCAAGTTACATTTTCTAACCCATTTTATTATTTTTGAGACAGGTTCTCAAAGTTCCCATGCAGGGTTTGCATTTATGATCCTCCTGCTTACCTTCCTTAAGTACTGTGATTACAAGAATATATGTATTTTCACATTTTGAAATATAGGACACATATAGTTAACTAAGTAATCATATTTGTGTGAATGCTCTTGCCAGATAATGCTGGTTTATTGTTGCCCTCTGTAATCTTAATAATGACTAACTGAAAGATAATGAATATATAATTTCACATAAAAAAAGTCCTTTAAGTGAACACAAAGTATAAGTCAAGCTAAGTCTTCTTAATGACTTTTTTTTTTTTGACATGTGTTTGTATATATTGTTTGAATAATGGAATATTTCCTAGAGGTTCATAAACATAAACAAAAAGTATATGCAAGACATAAGTATGCAAAGGAAAAAAAAGTCCATACTTTCACCACTGTATAAAATACATTTATTTGTTTTTATTTATATTCTGAGAAATTTTCTTTTTATAAATAACCTGATTGATATAATTGCTATTTTAAAAATTCTATCAAATTCCTGACATTTGTTTAAAGTAGTTTTGTTTAACAACGTGGAAGAACATCAGTTTGCCGCATTAAAAATACCTTTCAAAGTGTTAAATTGTTTTCTTTGCTTGTTTGTTTGTTTGATAGCAGGGATCAAACTCATGCCCACAGCACTTGTCAGGCAGGCACTAGTGCTGCTGAGCTAAATCCCCATGCCTGATCTATTGTATTTGATGAGTCTATATTATTATTCTTATGTATACTGCTGAGAAACATGCATTAGAATTAATCAGTTCTCTTACTATTACTTAGAACCCAGAGACTTTGTTACATGCCAGCATACCAGACATTTTTATTTTTCATTTTGATACAGAGTCTTACTAAGTGACTAAATTGTCCACATTAAGCTCAAGCTTGTAATATTCCTGCCTCAGCCTCACAGAGCATTGGGATTACAGATTTGCGCTATACCCCCGGCTTTGTCACATAACACTGATAAATGTCGTAATAATTACTGATGTAGAAATAATTCATTACTTAGTTATTTCTGAAAGTTGTTGTTTTGTGCTACCTGGCTTTCCAAGAACACTGTAATCAGGGAGCTAACTTGGTATTGGGTTTCAAATACAACTTTTAAAAATAGGACCAAAATTTTTGGGTGACATCACCTAGAAAAGTTACTGGTATATTTGGTTCTCTAGTGTGTACTTGTTAATTAAGTTAGTCTAGTTGTTATATAACTCTAAATGGAAAGTTAAGAGATGAAGTTCTATTGACAGATTACTTTTTATGATATAATTAATGTAAGAATATTTTATGAATATAAGCTATAAGGATACTACTGTGTTAAGCTGAATAACTGGTTTATGTTTTTACCAGATTTTTACTGAAGGATGGTCAATTGTATCTCAGTGCAACCCAGGCAAAAAAAATATGGAAGTGTTTAGCAGAGAATGCAGTTTATCTTAGTGATCGTGAAGACTGTTTTAAGTGGTACACCAAGTTAATGGAAGATGAACTGCATTTAGATCCTGACATTGTTAAGGACTTTTTTGAAAGTAATATCCTTCAGTTTGATCCTTCCCTGTTAACTGAAAATGGAATAAAGTGTTTTGAAAGATTCTTCAAAGCTGTTAATTGTAAAGAAGGGAAGCTAGTAGCAAAAAGAAGATCGTATATGATGGATGATTTGAAATTGATAGGATTAGATTACCTTTGGAAGGTAAGTAAAAAGTAGTTTTTGTTTACAAACATTGTATATGAGATAGTTTGTCAAAAAATAGTATAGAATCGAATTTTTCTGCTGCTTATCCAGTCTTGATATTTATCTTAGAAAGAAAGGGCTTAGTAGTTGTTTATCCATACCTTCATGTTATATTTCTGGCTTTAGAAGTATTTAGTAGTATTCTGGCTTCTTTCGCCCTTTTTGTTGCCTGGCACTGATACTTTTATGCTCCCTTCTGATCTGCTATTTTGCAAACATAGTTGCACTAACACTTATTAACCATGTTTTGCTTTTTCATGAAAGTTAATTATTTTAATTTCTAAAACATTTGGAATTTATAATACTGTTAATATAATGAATGACATGATTATTGTCACAAAATGTTATCAAATATTTTTATGTTTAGCTTGGAATATACTAATACATTTGAAGAGCAAGTGCAACTGATTTTTTTTTTTTTTTTTGTCTTTTTGAGACCGGGTCTCGTTATGCAGTTCAGGATGGCCTTGAGCTCACTTTGAAGCCCAGGTTGGTCTCGAACTCTCAACGATCCTCCCACCTCAGCCTCCTGAGTGCTGGGATTACAGGCATGAGCTACCATGCCCGACTAAAAATAACTGATTTTGATAGAATAAATAAATCTTGCCTTTCTAGAATCTTATGTAGCTTAGTACTTTTTTTTTCTTTTTGATACCAGAGATCAGACACCTCACGATCAACCTCACGCTTGGCAGCCAGTTGCTTGTTTCCCTGAGCTAAATCCCTGGCCCTAGTTTACTACTTTCTACATTTTGAGGCAGGGTCTTGCTATGCAATTCAGGCTGGCCTTGCTATTTTCTACATGCGTGTGTGTGTGTGTGTGTGTGTGTGTGTGTGTGTATGTGCGTGTGTATGTGTGTGTGTGTGTGTGTGTCTATCTGTCTGTCTGTCTTTTTGAGACAGGGTCTTGCTGTGCAGTTCAGGCTGTGCTTGAACTCACTTTGTAGCCCAGTTGGGTCTCAATCTTGCAATGATTCCCTTGCCTCAGCCTCCCAAGTGCTGGATTTACAGGCATGAGCCACCACACCGACCTCTTTATATGCATTTTATGTAGGTAAATTTTACAATGATTAAGACAGTTTTTACGATCTTCCACTAAAGCTAATGTTTTAAAATTTATTTTAACCGGTATTATTTGTAAATAGTTGAAAAAAGAATTTCTGGTTTTTCTTATCTCCATCTCCATTATTCTTTTGTGAAATTCTTAGAAGGTCATCTCTGAAAATTTTTGAAGTCCCAGAATTCTAAACACAAATAAAAAACTACTAATATTTATTAGGTAATTGATAAAAGATAAGAAAAAATTTTGGTGGTGTGAGACAATGTTTTTGGTTAGACATAATTTTTTTTTTTATCATTATTTGTTGTAGAACTGGCAATTGAATATAGGGCCTTCCCTCTAGCTATATCCTGGCCCCAAACAAATTTGTTATTTGAAGATAAGATGTCTCTAAATTGCAAAGTAGAACAGAACTTTAAATCCTCCTGCTTTACCTTCCCATAGTGCTGGGATTATGGGCATGCACCACCACATTGCACAGCTTTTACTTCTGTAATTTGTATGAATTAATTTTTTTAAATAATATTACAGATTCATTGTTAGTCACTTTGTTACACTGAGTATTTACCCCCCAAATTATTGGAGATTGTTTTTTAAAATAATGTGATTTGAATTTATGCACAAAATTAAAATATATACTGAGAAATATTAATATTATAATCTTTTTTTTGGAATTAGGTTGTTATTCAGAGTAATGATGACATTGCCTGCAGAGCTATAGATCTTCTTAAAGAAGTATGCACAAACCTGGGTCCCAGGTTACAGATGAGTCAGGTAAAAGCTGCCAGTTCTAATAGATTAAAATCCTTACAATTATAGTTAGTGGGACATTCTTCTAAATTTAGAATTATCTAGAAATGAATTTTTAAAAATGTAATCAGGGGCTAAGATTTAGTTCAGTGGCATAAGCACCTTACTGGCAAGTACAAAGTCATGAGTTCAATCCCTGGTACCACCAAAAAAATGTAATCAATGTATTTCTTAAGTGTTTAATCCACATTTGTGCTTTACATAATGCCAACCAAAAGATATTCTTAAATTACTGGTATTTTTCTTAGGTTAATTATTCTTAAATGATTGGGGATTACTTAGAATGTAATTGTGATACGTGTGTCATGTTCAAAATTTTGCTTTTCTTGGTTTGATGCTAAGTCCTGGGATTGATTTATTTTTAAAAATGTAATTGGTTTTTTTACATACTTTCTTATTAACCAGTATTTTACTAGTAGTTAAATAAGATTTAATTGAGACTTGCCTTCAAAATTGTACTGCCTTGGGGCTGGGGTTTAGCTCAGTGGCTTAAGTGCTTGCCTGGTAAGTGCAAAGTCATGAGTTCAAGCCCTGGAACCAAAAAAATAAATAAAATAAAATGTACTGCCTTAATCACCCCAATTAATGTAAACATTTGCCATAAAATGAACCGAGACAAAGTTCCATCCAGTATGGAAAAAAGGAAAAGAGATGGTGTGTTGTATACATGTATCATATATGTTCCCAAAATGATTGTAAATGTATGAATTGCAGACGTACTTAAAATTTTTTTACGCCTTTTCACTGGTCTAATGTCATGTAATTTTCAAATCTTGAATAGGAAATTTAAATAAGCAATTTGAACTATCTTTATTTGGTCTATATTTGCAGGCAGTTATTCATGAAGATTTCATTCAGTCTTGCTTTGATCGATTGAGAACCTCATATAATATTTTGTGTGTTTTGGTTGGTAACAAAGACAGTATAAATTGTGCAAGTCAGGAAGTCAAACGAATGGTTCGAGTATTAACTGTCTTGAGGGAGTACATAAATGAATATGACAGTGATTATCAGCGGGAAAGAGTCATTCTACCTATGTCCAGGTTTGTAAAAAATTAATGTTATATTCCAGTTATTTAATGTTTCCTTAAATTCTTAGGAAAAGGGGTACAAATTTCCTCATTTCTGGATTCATATCCTTTAAAACATTATTTACATCCTCTATATAATTACTTTAGAGTATGTACTTTGCTGAGGTATATTTATTTCTGTTTATGTTTTGGTAAGGCATTTGCATTTGTTAAGTATAGTTTTTCTTTTTCCAAGCTGTTAACATTCATTAAGTGTGCCACTGATTTTTAATTTAAGGTTTTTAAAGTTTTGTTACGCTGTCAAAAGTAAATCTTAAGAGCCTCTTAATTCAGTAGTCATTAGGAGTGTGAATATTTCAAGGTTTTAAATGGTCTGTGTTAAACTGTCCTTACATTTAAGAACTAACACTAGGAAATAATTCAGTAACTTGTCATTTTCATCTATACAACTTATATTATGGGATACATTTTTATAAATTAAAGCAGCGAACAAATAAATTGTTTAACGTTGTCAATGGGAGTTTTTATTTGGGCAAACATTTTAAACTAGTATGCATGTTTAATTGAAAAATTAACAGGACTTTTAAAATGTTACTAATTTTTTATCAGTACTCGAGAATATAAACTCAAATATGCCTACAATTTGATGAAATTTTGCTATTTTAAGAGCTGCTAAAAATGTTAACATTAGCATATTTATCAGTGAAGATTAAGCTCCTGATTTTAAACATCTTGAGTATCAACATGTTCTGTTACTGTCTTGCAGTGAGCTGTGGTCAAAACACAGGTGCATTGAATATACATAAAACTAACTTGAGGCTATATGTATTCGGTTTATGTAAAACCTAAATAAATTTGTGGTTAGGTTGGTTTCATTACTCAAAATAATTATTATGGTGTGCAAAGATTAAAACCATACATAGTCTGAAATACTTGTGGAGTTAGATTCAATTTATTCAACTTGTCCTTTCAATTTAAAACTTCCTTTCTGCACTTAAGAAGTCTTAATAAATTGAACTTTTATTGTAAGAAAGTGTGACATGGCTTTAAAGATCCTGAAAATTAAGTAAGTTTTTAAACTATTAGTTTGATATTTAACATAAAAAATAATTCCAAGCTTTTTTGGTTGGTGTTCAATTGTGTATAATTGTACTTTTCTGTTTTGTTTTGCTTTGTTTGATTTTGTTTGATTTGTTTGTTTTTTCTCCCAGAGCATTTCGTGGCAAGCATCTGTCTCTTATAGTTCGATTTCCAAATCAGGGCAGACAAATTGATGACATGGACATACTTTCTCACACAAATGATACAGTTGGTTCAATACGACGATGTATTCTCAATCGTATGAAAGCCAGTTCAGCCCATACAAAAATTGAACTGTTTGTGGATAGTGAACTATTAGATTATGAAGATGACAGAAAGTTAATTGGTCAATTAAATGTAAAGAATAAATGTGTAAGTACTTATAATTTGCACGCATTTCCCCAAAATTAAATGTTTAGATAATGTTGTATTATACAGTTAGTAGTTATTGGACATATAGCTGTTAATTCATATGTCTGTATTCATGTTTGAATTATAACATCAAAATAAGATAAATGTCTCATAATAATGGAAGAAATAAAATTCAGCCTGCACTCTGTAGTTTATGTTCTACATCTATTGACTCATTCAAACATAGGTGAAACTAATTATGGAAAATAATTTTCATCTTTCCTGAGCAGACCATAAAAAAAATTTTGGAGCCATTACTCCTTTAAAACAATACATAGTATTTATCTAGTAATGTATTAGGAATTATAAGGTAGATAACATCTAAAGTATAGGATGATACATGTATGTCATTTGTACCAGTTTATGCAAGGGACCTAAGCATCCATGAAATTTTTGTTACCCATAGGGTGTTGGAACCAATCTCTGGAGAATGGTAAGGGAGGATTGTACTGTCTGGTTATGCCTAGCAGAATTTTTTTTAGTATTTTTTAAAATCAAAGGATAAAAGATGAGCTCTTTGGTATTTCCAGTTTCTTTTATTTGTAACAGTATTTTATCTTTCTCATTAAGTACATTTCTATTTTCAGTTAATTATAGCTAAGGTTACACAGATAAATTCCAACATGCCTTCAAGTTCTGCCAGTGCTTCAGATTCTTCAGCTGCATCCCCTGGAGCCCACTATAGTCACGATAATAATGTTCCCAATCCAGAAGTGGAAAGTTGTTTGCCTGGGGTGGTGAGTAATGATAGTATGCAAAAAGTCACATTGTATCTGAGAATAAGAAGAAAAACATAGAATTTTTTGATTCTGAGAAATGAAGTTTTCTCTAATGGATCAAAATATCTGACATCTGTATACTTACCTATTAGTTGTGGATTAGATGTGGATTCTTTAATTGTTGAATTTAAAAATAGAAATGTAAAATGTACTATTCAATATAATTACATGTAGAAATTATTGCTATATTATCTACCCATCTTTTGTGCAAGAATATTTTAAGAAAAAGTATGATCAGTATTACTTAGACTCTTAGTTATTAAATATCATACCCAAAGAAACAACTCACCTTTCTTAAACTTCTTTTACATCTTAAGAATCTGTAGTTACACAAGCCACCTGGGTAAGTAATTTAGTGCTTAAGGGAGCAAGGTGCCATTTATATATATGTCTGAGTACCATACAAAACTGAAGTTTACAAAACAGTACACCTCAGAAAGAAATTTCTTAAAATTACTTATAAAGTTTAATAGATGATATGTTAAATTTGCATCATGGAGAATCAATTGATTTATGAAATGAAAGATACATACGTGGTTTTTCTGTGGGACAATGGATAAGTCAGTTTTTAAACAGTTTTTCTGGGTGCAGTCTACAGATAAATATTTTGTGCATTTTATATTCTAGATAATGTCACTGCATTTCAAATACATCTCTTTCCTTTGGAAAGTGGCTGACTTAGGTAGTAGCCTGAATATGCCATCTCTTAGAGATGCAGCAAGAGTACTTATGAAACTTATGCCGCCAGGTAAGGAAATAAATGTGCATCCATTCATAGCCCAACAGCAGAATAAGAATGCTTACAAGTACATAATGAACCAAAGAAGAACATGTGTTAAAGTCTGTTTCCAAATCAGATATACTTGTGAAGTAGACCCCAGCCAGTATTAATCACATGTCTTCTGTACCATTACTTCCAAAAAAGTTTTCCATACATGGGATAGATATTTATGAGCTTGTAAACTTTTATAAAAGGTTTTTAGCAAAGTACTGCATAATTGAGACAACATATTTCTTTAGGAATCTTCATCCTTCTTGCAAAGAAAAAGCAGTTTCAACTTTTAATTTCTTTTAAAGAGAAAGTAAAATAACAGTGTCAAAGCAGCCTACTAAGATAGTAACAATAATTAATACATTGTGTATTGTTGTTTGTATAGTAATGTAATACTGTCCAAACAATATTAGTACAGACCTTTCTCTTCAATGAGCTAAGAGAAACTGACTGTATTATTGTCTTAATTATTTTGTGTGTGTGTGTGTGTGTGTGTGTGTGTGTGTGTGTGTGTGTGTACGTACACATTTTTTTTTCCTTTACATTTCCCTTTCCCCATAACAGTTCTTTCCTCTCTCTCTTTTTGGTGTTTTATTTTGTTTTGTTAAAGAGTAGAAGGAGAAAAATAGAAATAAGATAAAACAGTTTCTAGTCAGATTAGTAGCATCACAATAATTAGTGCATTTCACATTATAATCTTCATAGTAATTACTCAGAGTATCAGATTTAGTTATGAAATAATCTGCAGACAGTATTAGCACAAATCTTCCTTATCAGTAAGCTGAGAGAAACTATTATTGTTTTAATTATCGTGTGTGTGTGTGTGTGTGTGTGTGTGTGTGTGTGTGTGTGTACACATATTTTTTTTCCTTTACTTTTCCCTTTCCCCATAACAGTTCCTCTCTCTTTTTGGTGTTTTGTTTTGTTGAAGAGAAGAAGGAGAAAAAAAGAAATAAGATAAAACAGTTTCAAGTCAAACTAGTAGCATCACAATAATTAATGCATTTCACATTACAGTGTTCATAGTAGTTGCTCAGTGTATCAGAGTTAGTCATGAAATAATCTCCAGACAGTATTAGCACAAATCTTTCTTATCAGTGAACTAAGAGAAACTAGCTGTGTAACTATTTTAACTATCTTTATGTGTATGTTTCATTTTTTTCTTCCCTTTTTCCCCATTGGTCTATCTTTTCTCTGAAACAGTTTCTTCTCAATTCGCAGTATCTATTATACTTTTTGGATCTTATTTACTTGTTCAGCTTCTTAAACTAGGGAGACAATGTAATGTTTATATATATGGGTCTGATTTATCTCACTTAGAAGTATGGTCTAAAGTTGCCTCCATTTTTCTATAAAAGTTTCCAGTTCATCCTCAGTGACTGAATAGTACTCACTTTTATTTAAAAAATCAATCTTTTTTAATGTGTTCCTCGGTTGATGGGCATTTTGATTGTTTCCAAGAGTTAGCTATTAAAAATTGTGCTGCTATACACATACGTGCACATATATTAGCATGATGTTTTTAATTCTTCTGAGCAGATAGGTACTCAGGTGGGAATAACTGTCTTGAATAGGACCTCTAATCCTAGTTTTTGAGAAATCTCCACACTGATTTCTACAGTGGCGTTACCAGTCTACATTCCCAATAGTGGTGAAAGATTTGTTTTCCCCCACACCCCTGCCAGCATTTTATATTGCTTGAGCTCTTGATAGTAGTGATTCTTTCTAGAGTGAGGTGGAATTTCAGTATTTGTTTTAATATTTAATAGTGATTCTTTCTAGAGTGAGGTGGAATTTCAGTATTTGCATTTCTCAGATGATCAGTGATGTTCAACATTTTTTCATGTTTATTGTTTGTATTTCTTTGTGTATGTCTTCAGGATTACTACCTAATTTCTCTTCCAGTATATCTAATGTTTCTGTTTTAATGTGTAGATCTTTGATCCATTTTGACTTGAGTTTAGTGCATGGTGATAGGCATTGGTCTAGTTTAAGTCTTCAGCATTTGGAAAGTCAGTTTTTCTAATACCATGTAGGAAAGACTTTTTTCCAGTGCATGTGTTTGGCTCTTTTCTTATTCCTATCTTTTGTGTATATGTTTCCTTTTTTCTTCTTTTTTTCCTTCCTTTTCCCCATTAGTCTGTCTTTTTTCTGAAACAGTTTCTTCTTAACTCACAATATCTATTATACATTTTGGATCTTATTTATTTGTTCAGCTTCTTACACTAGTGAGACAATGCAATGTTTATACATATATGCTTATATTTGTGTTTTTCTTTTCTTTTTGGTGAGGTTGGCTAATGGTTTATCTTTTTTTTTTTGTCTTTTTCGTTTTTTTATCGGTACCGGGGATCGAACTCACAACTGCCTGCAGTTTATCTTATTTTATAGATACTTTGAAAGAACCAATTTTTTGACTCACTGATTTTTTGAATTGCTGTCAATTGCATTATTCTGTTCTTTTATAATTTCCTTCCTCACATGAGTCTTGGGTTTGATTTGTTCTTCTTTCTCTTGAACTTTGAATTTCAGTATTAGGTTGTTTATTTAAGCTCATTTTGTTTTCCTGATCTGAAAGTTCATAACTATAAATTTCCTTTGTAAGACTGCTTTCATTGCATCCCATAAGTTTTGATATGTTGTATCAACATTGTCATTTATTTGTATATACTGTTGAATTCTGTTTTTAATTTCCTCTGTGACCCATTGGTTGTTCAGAAGGGTGGTGTTTAATTTCCATGTGTTTATGAAGTTTTTGTGATTTCTTTTGTCATTGGTTTCCATTTTCATTGCTCTGTGGGCAGATTATTATGCGTGGGATGATTCCAATCCCTCTATATTTACTTATGCATATTTTGTATATTAGTATGTGGTTTGCTTTATAGGACATACAGTGTATAATTGAGAAGGACATGTGTTCTGATGTTTAGAGGTGAAACACTCCATAAACATAACAAGTCCAGTTGTTCGCAAGCTTGGTTTAATTCTGATATTTCTTTTTTTTTTTTTTTTTTTTGTCTAGTTGATCTGTGTATTTGTAAGTGGGTGGGGGAGTGAGGATCCTATACTACAATTGTATTGGTGCTTATTTCGTTTTTCATGTCTGTTAATATTTCCTTCATGTAGTTGATGCATGTGTTTGATGTATGTATATTGTTATCTCTTCTTCTAAGAGTTTTCTCTTCTAAGAGTTTTCTTCTTCTAAGAGTTTTCTCTTAACAAGTACATAGCGACCTTTGTCTCTTTTCAGCAACTTTGGCACAAAGTTTACATTATTTGCATATGGACTAGCAACCTCTGCTTTTTTCCATATTTCTGTTGTGGGGAAAATTGTTTTACATTCTCACACTTTTAGTCTGTGGATTTCTTTTTGAATAAATGTATTTCTTGAATGCAGCATATTGTTGGATCCTGCTTCTTAATCCATTTTTTCCAGTCTCTTTCTTTTTATTGATTTGTTGAGACCATGCACATTGATGGCTATAATTCATATGTATTAGCTTATCTTTCTCATGTTACTTTCCTGTTGTTGGTTCCTTGTCTTTGTCCTATGTTTGCGTCCCTGCCTGGTGGTTTCTTTCTCCAGGTATTCTTGTGTTTGTGGTCTTCATTTCTTTCTTCATTCTTGTGTTTGTGGTCCTAACATATTCTTCAGAGTACTGTGCTGATTCGATGGTCATAAATTTGTTCAGTTGTTGTTTCTCACGGAAGTATCTTATTTCTCCACTAATTTTGAAAGATTTTTACAGAGTACATCAATCTGGATGAAAGCTTGTTTTTTTTACAGCTTGAATTACCTTATTCCAAGCTTCCTTTGTTTGAAGGTATATGGTACACTGAGAAGAACTGTTCAGCTCGTAGACCTCATCCTTTTTTAGGTGAATTGGTTTTTTTTCACTAACTGATGGGCAGATCTTCTCATCATTTTTAGGTGAATTGGGTTTTTCCCCTCTAACTTCTTTTAATATTTTGTCCTTTAGCCACAGTGTTGCAGGCAGCTAAATTAGAATAGTTATAGGCAGGTAGGACTGGGCCCTCGAAGGAATAAGAAGGAGGTATCAGAAGACCAGATACCTTGAAACTGTAGTGGAGAAAAATACCTCCCTCTGTGGCCTCAAGACAAAACAAAAGGCAACCATGTTATAAGGGTAAAGTCAGGGATTGATACCCCAAAAAGATATCAGATTACTTTGAGGAAACCAGAAGCCACTAATCCAACCCCTACAGGCCAAGACTGTGACTCACTTTCCTATTAGATCCCAATTTAATCAATTTTACCTGAGCAGTTGCACTCAATATTATGGGTTGACCATAGTTCTGTCCCACCTATGTGCATCTGCCTTGGGAGTTCCCACATTTTCTACATTGGACCTGTCTCACCTTGTTGTTTTGCTTTAAAAAATCCTTGGAAAAGGCAGAATCTAACTACTTGGGACCCCATATCTCTTTCAGATGCTTTCTTTTTCTGAATAAGAATATTCTTTAAAAGAAATTTTTTTTAAAGCCCCCTAACAGGCATCTGGGCTACACTGACGATTATTAGATTTTATTAGATTTCTGGAATTTTGATTATTATATTCCTTGGTATAGATTTATTTTGGTCATGGCTATTTGCAGTTCTATATGCATCATTTGTTTTTATGTTAAATTCTTTATCCATGTTTGGAAGTTTTCTGCCATTTATATAAATAGGTTTTTAATGACTTGCACAAACTAGCTTTTTCACTGTCTCTAATCCATCTTATCAACTTGTAGCTGTAAGACTGATTTTTTGTCTCATTATTTTTAAGATCTCTTTTGTTCATTGTTTTTAAGATCTCTTGTTTCTCAGTCACTAATTGTAATCATGTCTCCTGGATCTGATACTCCCTCTTTGTCTTCATTCAGTCTGTTGTGTATAGTTTTAATGAGGTTTTTAATTCCTGAATTTCTGTCTTGTGGATGCCATTTATTGTCTGTGTTGGGCTTTGATGGTT